GTAATACAAAATATAGCAATACTTGGAAATAGATTAGTATTTTAATTGTTTTTCAACATCCATTCACCTTTAAATTTGGGGATGATCAAAAGGCGTGATGGTTGGAATATGTTCATCCTTAATTAGTTATCACAAGTTTGAGATCTAAAACTGAAGAATTTTTTGTTAGAGAGTACGTTACTTCCTCTTATAGGTCGAAACATATATTGTCTCATTTAAAAGCTGAACAAAATAAAGCGTCATATATATTAAGATAAATTATGAAATTCATCCAAACAGGAAATTAAAAAAACCATAATTAATATAGCCAACATAATAAGTAAGCAGTACGCTAAATTTGAGATTTTAATTCATACATATGCTTTTATTAAATAATACGATGTAAATGCTTATACATTTAATTTAAGCAAACTTTCCGAAGGAAATGAGTGTTTTAACATTGTCACCGGAATGATCGTTGACAACAGCCAAATAGCTAGTAGTTGTGACTGTGACATTTTGTCTTGCAGATATAACCAGTTTATAGGTAATGCCATTAACAACTTGAAATTGCCCACCTAACACACTCTCAAATGTCAAAGGAAAACTATTTGATATTTCGTTGTATGTATTTACTGCAAATTCACCAATTAATACCACTTTAGGGTCCTTTGCATCTGTTATTGGCTGCCAATTACCAAGTAACGAGGAAGGAGCTGGAGTATTCGATACAAGATCGGATGAATCCAGTAACTTTCGACCGGCATTTGCGGCAGAAACATGGCAAAAGATGGAAGCAATGACTACTATTGAAAGAGCCATAAGAAGGAAAGAATTGATTTTGAAAGCCATTTTTCTTTTGATAAGAATTTGTTATTGGTGCACTTTACATTAACTGGTGTGGGATTTATTTATAGGAGAATTTAAAAGATAGTCTGGTCAAAAACATAGGTAAGTTTAGGTAATTAGATGATAAGTTAATTACTTTAGAGGTAGGTATATGATTCATAATAAATTATCTACCTAAGTAATCGAGGGATAAAAAAGGAATTATTTTTAAATAATACATGCATGTAATTTGGATATAATTACAATTTTGATATTAAAGGAAGATCTATTACAATTCTATAATTATTTTATATTTCATTTGAATTGACATTATTGCATGAATCTTAATTAATGTTATTGTATTTTTTATTTATGAAAAACCAGTGGTTAGATTTTTTTAAAAGTCAAAAAATAAGAAACAAAAAAAGTGAGGCAAAGAATTTAATCTAACCTGACTAGGATTTGATGGAGAAAAAAAATAATTGATCATCTTATCTTTTGTTTATTTCTACCCATATCTACGACTAAAAATTCGAAAGCCTAATAAAAAGATAAAAATAATACTGTTGTGATGAGTTTCTTTTAAGCCGTACTCGTGGTCGAAACTGTTAACATCTTGTTTACCCTTAAAATTGAATAATAATTAAACTTATAATATGATTTTAAGGGTACGTGATTTCACCTAATATTAATTGATAAATGTAAAGATTAATAATAGAAATTGACAATAAAATAAAGCAAACCAGTGTTAAAACGTAATTAAACCCTTGAGTTTGAGTGCCCTCGAACTGGTTGGTACCGGAACCACTAAAAAAATAAGACAAGTTGATGAACAAGAAAGTATAAGCTAAAGAGAATGTGTTGTATTGCTTTGATATGCGTCATGTAAGTATCTTACAAATGATAGGGGCTCATCTTTATATAACAGAAGAATTCTAATTATGGTTTAACTCTAATTACATAAGGAAATTTCGTGATTAGCTAATTAACCGCCCTTGATTTGATCCGTTCTAGGATTTTCACCATGATCTCCGACCGGTCGCGGATATCTCGCTTTTCTGTTATTGCGCTTTGCTCGAAGTCTGCCCTATTTAGTCTCGATAGCTACTGGCCTCGATCTCGACAGACACTTCGATTCTCGAACTCGGTACCTTATCTTCGTGCTCTGGTCTGATCTACTACGAGGCCGTCCTTCGATGCAACTCCATGGTCTCGATCAAGTAGTAAAATCGGGTAGGCCCGGTTTTAACCGTATACAGATAGTCCCCTCATTTTTTGGAGTGTAATGAGAAGAAACGAATTGAGCCTTCTACTTTGTACCTCGAACTGTCATGATGTCATCCTCGTGACATAAGCGACAAAAGTGACTGAAACGTCCCGTCGGTACAGTTCCCCAAGTCATTAATGAGCATTAGTTGGTGGTCGGCCACCAGTGCCTTTGAACCGTCGTCGTGAATCCCTTAAATAGGCCCCCTCTCACATTGATTCAATCTTTACTTTCACTTTTTTCTAATCTCTTAAGCTTTTACATCTCTTAAGCTCTTCTTTTCTTCAAAATCTCTAGGGTTTGTTGCTAATCCCCATTCAAACACCAAGTCATGTCATCTCCTTCTCTCTTTAAACTTACACAAAAATGGCAGCCGACCGACGATAAAACACCAGTGGAACGCGCCTTGAGGAGTGCGTTCCCGAGAGGTGTGAATTTACTTCCGACTTCAAGGTCGAGAAAACTTCATCGGTTCCTGATCTGTACGATTCAATGTCGAGATATATGTGCTTGATAACTGAGAGTATCCTTAAGATAGTAAAGAAAGACTGTAATTGGGGGGGG